TAATTCATATTATTTCTATACTTTTTCTGTAAATTATTCATATAATTTTGTTACTTTTATTGATTCACAGAAGTTCTGATTTATTAGTTCTTTTAGTCTACACTAAAAAATAGAAAATGACAAGATGTAGACGCAAAATACAACCCTATACCCTAAGCTCACTCAGAACAAGTCCATAGCATGAGATAGAGAAAACCAAAAGTCAAGAATTGGAACTTTCTGAAATGATAGAAATAAAAGTGAAGAAAACAAATGGAAGATTCTATAGAAAAATTAATGTCTCAGTACAAGAAGAAATGACAAAATAAAAGATGTTAGAACAGAGTTAAAAAAAAAAAAATTGAAGAGCTTAGGAAGATGATAGAAACCACAATGCCAAACATAAGAAAAGAGGTGAAAGCCAGGAAACAAATCCAAACAAAAATCCAGAAGGTTAAAATCTCCCTAGAAAGTTTATGCAACAGAAGGTGAGCATAAAATATCAGATCTAGAAGACAAGATTGTGGCTAGTGATCATGAAAAACGTATCTTTAAAAATAGCAAGAGACCATGAAAAATCAATCCAACAGCTGCAGGATGAAGCAAAGAAGAATAATGTAAGATTGACTGGAGTCACTGTGGAAGCTGGAGACAGTGCAAATGCCATAAAAAATCTCTTCACAGATACAGTGACCAAAAAATTCCCAAACATAGATAAAGAATTTGACATACAAGTGAATGAAGCATATAGAACTCCAGACAGTTACAGCCAACATAAGTCTACAGCAAGATTCTGAAAATTCAGCAGCAGAACAGAATTTAAAAAGTTAGAGAAAAGCAATAAATTACCTATGAAGGGAACCCCAGCAGAATCACAACAGACTTTTCATCACAAACCCTCAAATCAAGGAGAGCTTAGAGTGAGGTATTTCAAGCCCAAAAGAAAACAACCTCCAACCCAAATTGATGTAGCTCTCAAAACTGTCTTTCAAAATCAGAGGAGAAATAAGACACCCTCATGACAAAGAACAACTGAAGAAATTCATGACCACCAAACTAGCTCCAGAATGCTCTGAAAGATACAATAGAAAGGAAAAAAAAAAAAAAAAAAAAAAAAAAAAAAAAAAAAAAATCAAGAACAACAATACCAGTAGAAAGAAGCCACCACCAGGCAGGCTAAACAGTTTAAACAGAGTAAAGACGGAGCCAACAACAGGAAAATAACAGGACAAAGAAAAGTCAATACATATCAGTTATAACCATCAATGTTAATGGTCCCAGCTCACCAATCAAACAGAACAGATCGGCAAAATGGATCAAGCAGCATGATCCACCAATGTGCTACATTCAAGAAACCCATTTAACTAAAAAAGAAATTTATAGACTGAAAGTCAAAGAATGGAAAACAGTACTCCATGCATTGTGATGACAGACAAAAAGCAGGGATAGCTATTCTATTTGCAGACAATGTGAACTTTAAGGGAACACTGATCAAAAGAGACAAAGAAGGTCATTACATACTTGTAAGAGAAAACTTGAAGGGATAAAAAACATAAATGTATATGCACCAGATACCAGTGTACCCAAATACATAAAACATATTAATGAACATGGAAAGTCAAATAAGCACTAAAAGAATTGTAATGGGGGTCCTTAATACTCCACTCTCAGAATTAGGATCAACTAGCCAAAAAATCAACAGAAATACCAGAATTAAAACAAAACTGAGGGGCTGGTGAGATGGCTCAGTGGTCTAAAGCACCTACTTAGAACAAACAAGCTTAGCAAAGCACAGGGACCGCGGTTCAATCCTCCAGCACCACATGCCAGCCAGCCCCGCTCCCTGTTGGGCTGAGCTGGCCACACACACACACACACACACATACACACACACACATAAATTAAAAAACAAAAAACTGAACAAAAGGACTTAGAGATGTCTATAGTGTTCCAGCCTATGTCAGAGTATATATTCTACTCAGCTAAAAATGGGATATTTTCCAAAATAGAGCACATGTGCCAGGGACATAGTTTAGTGGCATAAGTACCTGTTTGGCAGGTTCAAGGTCCCAAGTTTGATCTCTAGTTCCAAAAGGAAACAAATAAAACAAAAAAACCCCCTACATATTAGCCCACAGAACATGCTTAAATAAATGCAGAAGACTTGAAATTATCCAATTTATATTATTTGATCATAATGCACTGAAATTGGAAATCATCAGTAAAAGAAACCACAAAAACTACACAAACACATGGAAAGAAACAGCCTGCTGAGCAACCAATGAGTTCCATAAGAAAGAACAGCATCAAAAAAGTAAAGAAGAAATTTATCTACAATTAAATGATCATGTTGATAAAATGTACTGGAACTTAATGGGATGCAATGAAAGCAGTCCTGTGGGAGAAATTTATTTCTGTGAATTTTCACATCAACAAAACAATATGCATTCAAAACTACTTAATGTTGAATCTCAAGTAAAAGAAGATATCAAACCAAAAGCTTATATGAGAGAGGAAATTGTAAAGAGCAGAAATTAATGCAGCTGAGACTAAGAAAACGTTACAGGAATTGAAGAGTTGGTTCTTTGAAGGAATAAATATACTTGATAAACCTGCAGTCAACCTTATCAAAAAGAGAAAAGACAAGACTCAGATTCAAGCAGTTAGGAATGAAAAGGGTGAAATCACAACAGATCCTTTGGAAATCCAGATTAGTAATACCTACTACTAGAATCTATAGTCTAATAAGATGGAAAACAGAAAAAATGAACAGATTGCTACACACAACTGAAATGCAAAAACTAAATCAAGAAAATATAAAAATTCTAAATAACCCAATGTTAACCAATGAAATTTAAAATGCAACTTAAGATCTACCAACAAAGCAAAGCTCAGACCTTGATGGATTCAATGTTGAGTTCTACAAGAAATTTAGTTAAGAATGCCACAAATGCTGAAATTTTTAAATTGAAAGAGAAGCAATACTTACAAAATTCTTCAATGAAATCAAAATGGAAGCAG